ACATGGTGTAATACATCACAGATCAGAATAAATCTGTGCTGTCATCTAAGCTCATATATAAATATTAAGTCTAATTCATTTCCTTTAACATTGTATGTAAAGATCTGAAGCACACTCACACACCAATTTCAAGAAATAAATCCCCCAAAGTCAGTCTCATGCACTCGCTCACACTCGGTGTGCACAAAACAGCCCAGTGAAGACTAACCTCACCGTTGAACGTGCCGGCATAAAATAGCACACTTTGGTATATGACAGCACTCACTTGGTCATCTGCAATAATTTAGTGCAATCCACTAAAATAAGCAGAACAGGTAAATATAAAGACCAAAAATTAGTGGACAGACAGACAGACGTATGGATGCAAAGGCAAACAGGGTGGCTATGGTCGTTACTGAAATGCCAGTATATTCACACATTTCCTGCATTAAATATCTCAGTGCATTACAGCAGCAACAGCAAATACTATTGAGGACTCTGCCCCTTGCCTCTCTAATGTATGCCATAAAGGTCTACAAACACTCTCCTGCAGAGTGTTTATAAAACAAAGGAAAACGTTTCCAAACAGGACCATTTTCTATTAGAAAACATTAAAAATGACAGTTGCTCAAAGTAAACAATAGAGTGTTCCTGTCATCCATGGGAAGCCAGGCAGGGGCAACCTCTCCATTTTTATTAACAGGTCAGAAGAGTTCAAAGGATCATATTAAACCCAAACCTCAGGCACACTGAACTCTCTCCTGTGATATGCAACGGGAATATTCCTTCCCCATAAATCTGCATGCTAATCCGGAGCGTTTATTAAAGATGTGTATTTCATTTCTGTGGAGTAGATCACGTAACTTCTTGGCAAAGGCAACGGCATTTTTTTTTTCACTAACTGTTAAAATTCCTTGTGTAAGTTTAAACAGCCCTTTCAAGCAAACAAAGCAGTGTCAGGAATCACAGATCCATTGCTGCAAAGTGCGCTGAGCCCCGTCCCTGTGAACTCATTTCAACACCCTCACTACATAAAACCCGTTCCAATCACACGCTGCCTGCAAGGATATTTACGTGTTTGAAATGCCTCACAAGGGGTCCAACAAACTCGGTCTCAGTAACACAACCAGTCCCTTGGTAAAGCCTCCAACAGAATGTAGCAGTATTTAAAATAAAAGCACACAGCTTTTATTAACTGCAAACATACTACGAACATAGTAGGAAGAGAAAGAAAACAAAGGCTCCTCGCTGCATCTGGACCAAACCTGACCTCTGTTAATGTATTTGGTGGTAATTTACAGACATTCCACAATGGCCTGTGGGCTCATTCAAGGGGTAGGTTCAGTGTTACAATGAAATATTAAAAAAAACTCAGAGATGGAAACTAACTGTGCTGCACACTGCCCGTGCCCATCAGACTCAGACAGACGAGCCCCATGGCCACCAAGGTACTGAACACATTCTGATCTTTTCCAATCGGCACCTGCATGGCTCTGGGTTACACAGGGACATCTTCACCTGACATCTGCAGTATGGGACCATTAAAATTTCAATTGAAAAACTATAAACACCCCCCCCACATACACACTTGATTACTGGGCTTCTAGAGAACACTGATCAACACTGCACTGAAGGGGAAATTGTTCTGGTTCAGTCAAATCAGGCAAAGCAAAAACCCATTAAATTGGCCCTGGGTTTTTAAGTGAATTTGATCTGGTTATTCTTTGTCAGCTAGAGCTGAGATTCTGAAGTCAACACAACCTCTCTGGACTCAGTGTTATTGTACCTCACTCCCAGCTCTGGCTGCACAGCAGAGGAAGACATGAAATCCTAGAAAGCATCTTTCTTTGGGGGGGGGGGGGAACAACAACAACAACAACAAAAACAACAAACAACCCAAAACCAAAACAACCCAAACTGTCAGCCACTTCACATAAAACCGTTAGTGCGAGTTGTGTATCCGAGAGAACTCCTCATGGAAAATTCACATTTTAGCAAAGACCAACATCCAGCCAGCATTAATAACGTTAAATTCAGACACAAAATGTGCACATTCACACACAGCTCGCTAAATGGTGTCAGTGTGGACACATAACACAGGCACCTACAGCACGCTGCCTGCTTCCAGCCACCTTCCAACCCCACAGCTGGCACAGGTTGCCAGGCATGAGCAAACCCTGTTAATGCCAGCAGGAGAAAAAAAAGGCGAGCTGTAAGGAACGTGAGCAGCCACTACCCAACTCAGACAGGTTGTATCCCCCGTAATCCGGGCAACAGCCGAGTATTTGGAACGCTCCCGATCCGCCGTGGTCTGGGAGCTTCCCGTGCCAGCTGCCCCCCCCCACCGGCACCGCACCGCTTCCCGTCTCCGGCTCCACGGAGGAGCGCGGTGGGAATGGGGCCGGACGCGCACGGAGCGCTCCGCCGAGGGACGCCGCTCGCCGCCGCCCGTGCCTGCGTGCCCCGAGCCGCCGGTGCGCGGCAGGGCCCCACCAGGAGCCAATCGCCCCGCGCGTTCCTCCGCCACGGCAGGTGGGACTGAGCACCCACCGCCAGCGGCTGCGTGAACCTGGGGCTAACGACCAGCCTCACCCTTCGTAACAGCGCACAGCGCGGCGAGCGGGGAGCAGCTCTGAGCGCGGTCAGGAGCTGCCGGGGATTAGGGTAAGTGCTGCCCGCTGCCTGCGTTCACCCTGCCCGTGTACACCGGGGAGCTGCTGGACGCAAATCCCCGCCGGCCAAAACGCCTTAAAACCTAGGTCACTGGATAAATAAAGCCTTGCCTGCAGCGCACTTTCAAATACACAGGGGCACAGCAACGTGAAGTTAAATTATTCCTACCAGCAGCCTGTTCTTTTTCACCTATTGTATCTTTATCACTTCCAAAAACAGTTAATTATCTGCTGGTCGTTATGAAATTCCTCATCCGAAGAACCACCCCATTCAAATCCTTCAAGTGACTAAAGTGTGAAAGAAAATGAGTGCCTCTCTGCATTGTTGTAAAACTGGTTGCTATTTTATGTTAAGCCTCCGAAACACTAAAACATATCCTTATATAGGAACACTGATTAAATGGTTTTCCTTCCAAGTGATGAACTATTTTAACAGCAACACTGTGGTTATCGTGACCAGAAAGCAATTACTTATTTCACTAGATGTTACTAAGAATAGTGGTGATCAAAGTGAACGTAGGAGTGCTGCTAAAGATGTTAAAGAAAGCATCACTCCATATGACACACATACACAAAATATACATGATTTTAAGCCAAATTACATTTTTAATAAATGTGCTGCTCAGGATTAAATCACTTCTCAGGATTATTTTTTTTTTACCCGAAGTTACTCTTTAAAAATCTATTTCTAAACAGAGCACGGTGTGCGGCTCTGCAGATCTGTATGCATGTGTGAGTGCACACATAACGGGGTGTGTATGTATTGTGAGAGAACGTATATATGTGTTCGAGTCTGCCAAGGTAGAAGTGACAGGAACTGTGATTTGTGCTAACTAGCTATTGATCCAGTCAGATCTAGATGTTGTGTACAAGAAACTATAAAAGAGAAGGGGCCAGGAAGGATGCTGTGTGCAACTCCATTTAAAAATGGAAAAGAAGGGCCCCAAACAAACCAATTTATGTCCTTGCCTGGGTGAAGCATGGAGAATGCTGATGGGCTTCCCAGAGTCTGCTGTGCATGCTAAACACTCCCGCTTGAAATGAGAGGCTCCTGCACTGGGCATTAAGCATGAACAAAGAGACAAACCGTGGGGGCTAGGATTCACGCTTCAGAAAGCCAAAGCTGGAAAGCCAACCAGAACCGGGGGTAGGGAATCGCCCAGTTTTCAAACCAGCTCCCTCCTGATTTTCCCAACACCTTCCTTAGCAAAATTACTAAACGCGGAGGACTGTAAAAATCAGTCTGTGCCACCAGCTGTAATGAAAACCATTTCAAACTACCCGAGCGGCACCAAACCAGCAACTTTCCTAGGCACAAATAATGAGTTTATATCGCGTAAATTACACACGTGTACTTAGAGCACATCAGAAATTGCCGCCGTGTGTCCACGCAGCAGCACGTGCACTTGCACCTATTGTAATATTCACCCACATGGTCAGGCAGTTGGGAAAATAGGGCTTTGATAAGATAAAATAGAAGCCAATTGAATCTATAAGAATCTTTTATCTCAAACAGCTTTTCTAATAGAGGGCTTTCCATTAAAATATTTTTTTTCCTGAGCGTGGGGAATTATGATGCCCTCTGGACACGGGGAAGGATCAAAAATGACAACTAATGTTGAAATTAAACATCTGTCAACTAAGCAAGTTTTCTACCAGCAGAGCCAGAGCCTTGTTTTAAATTGCCTTTCTATTAAAGAAAAAGAAATTATTATGTTAAGAGCCTTTCAGCTCAGTATTGCACTGCTGGAAGGCTTCTACTGCAAGCAGGGAAATACCTGGAACCGGGGGGGACAGCACCACTCCCAGCATGGCTGCACAGCTCAGGAAAAGCCCTCTGACAGATTGGGGGAACTGGCTGGAAGGCTTGGCCAGTGTGGGGCTTGAGGAGCTCCCCCCCACAGCACCCCACACCAACAGGACTCTGTGGGGAGCCCCCTCTTCGGTGCCCCATGAGCGGGAGCATGGCTGGGTCTTCACCCGGAGCCCCCTGCTCAGCACCCTGAGACCCCACGCCAGCCCCTCGGGGGGAGAGGGGGGTATCTGCTCCCCAGAAGGTGTGATGGGGATGATGATGGCAGAGACATCAGAGGCAAGCATCACCGGGTGCTGGTTGGGCAGCAGGCACTTCATCCCTGCCACTGCCCCCCCCAGTACAGCCACCAGCATCCCATGCCCCAGCCTGGTGCAGGAATGCACCTAGCACCCACTGAGGTCCCCACCATGGGTCTGGGGCTAGCATGTGCCCAGCATTCCAGGGCCAGAGCTCTACCATCTACCACCTCCCCTTCCCCGAGCAGCACACTATCCCCCCTCTGTGGGCCAGCACCCGTATGGGATGACAGATACCTTCTTTGCTGGGATTCGGGGGCTTGGGCTTCTCCCAGGGCACCATGGGCTTGTCCTCCTCCTGCCCTTCCATCAGGGCCTTCTCACCAGGCAGGTACCAGGTGGAGTTGTGCTCCGCCATGAGGGAGTCCAGGTCGATGGTGCTCATGGGGCCCTTGACGCCCTCTGAGCAGCAGCTGCCCAGGTCGCTGTCCCCGTTCTGCCCTGCGCACTCCCCCTTCTTGCTCTTCAGCCCCAAGGGCTGGTCTTCCGAGATGCTGAACTGCTGCCGCTGGAGCTGGATCTGCGCCTGCAGGATCTCCAGGGGGTGGATCTCATCCTGGGCCGAGGTGCTGGTGGGGGTCCGCACCTGCTCCATGCTCGGCGTGCCAGGGTGTGCGCCCGCTGTGGTGCTGAGCCCGTAGCTGTCAGGGGTCGAGGTAGACGTACTGAGGAGGCCAAGGGCCAGGGGCTTCTGTCCGTTGAGAAGTGCGTGCTCCCCACGGGGCAGCTTGGGCGAGCCGCCCAGCAGCGGGCTGCGGGTGGGCTTGGAGGCGGCGTTGTCGGAGCTGGAGGACACCTCGTCCTCATTGCCGTAGCTGGTGCTGACCTCGTCGGGAAAGTCCACGTGCGGGGAGCTGCCGTCCGACTTGGTCACGCTCTGGATGCCGCTGTCCAGGGAGGACATCAGGTCGGGCTGCTCCGCCAGCAGCAGCTCGCCGCCCTTGCCCCAGGATGGCGAGGTCAGGGGCTTGTCATGGGGGGTGCCCCCACCACGCTCTGTGCCCGCGGCCCCCGGCGGGCCCCCCGCGGCCGCCGGCTGCCCCGGGCTGACACCGGCCCCGCTGCCCTCGGTGGCCGAGAACTTCTCGAAGAAGGTGCCGGGGCTGACGTGCCCGCTGTCCCGTTTCCGGCGGCCCCGCCCCCGCCCACCACCCGCCTTCCCCTCGCCGCCAGCCGCCGGCTCCAGCGCGAAGCCGGGCGAGAGGCTGCTCTCGGCGGGCAGCAGCGGGGCCGTGCCCGGCGCCTTGCCTGCGGCTCCCCCACCAGCTGGCGGCCCTGGTGGGAAGTAGTCCTGGGCGGCGGGCGGCGGCGGGTCGGGCTCGGCCTGGCTGAGCTTGCGCTTGGCCTCGGCCGGGCTCTTCTTGTTGAAGGTGACGTTGAGGTTGGGGGCACCCAGGCTGGCGATCATGTTCTGGCAGGCGGTGGAGAGGGCGGCCAGGCAGCTCTGCCCGAAGACGTTGTCCTTGCTGGCCGGCTTGCTGAAGGAGCCCAGGGAGAGGGCGCCCAGCTTGCTGGCGGCGGGCCGCGGCGGCGGTGGTGGGGGGAACTCGGACGGGGCTGGCGGGTACGCGCCCGGCGAGGCGCTGAGCGCAGGCCCAGCCCCGTGGGCCGCTGGCTGCCGCGCCGCTGCCGCGAAGGGGAAGCCGGGCTGGGCAGCAAAGTCAGCAGGGCCACGGCGCTCGGCAGGTGCACTGGGCAGCGCCACGCCACTGCCCGGCGACTGCAGCTGCGAGAGGCCACCCATGGCAGGCGCGAAGGGCTGGTGGACGCCAGGAGAGGGCAGGGCCTGTGCTGGCCCCTCGCCTGCCATCCGCAGCGGCTCCTGCAGCCCCAGCCCGCTGGCGCCCGGCCGGAACAGCACGGCAGTGCTGCCCGGCTGTAGGCCCAGCTCATGGGGGGCCGCCTCGGCCGGCAGCCCCGGTGCCGCCATGCGCCGCGGCAGCAGCTCCCCGGGTGGCGGCGGCCCCGCAAACCAGGCGCTGTCGGGGGCCAGATGCGGTGCTGGCGGGTCGAAGCCACGGCCGCTGCTGGCCTCGCGCTCGAAGGCAGGCGGGGGCAGGCCGCCGGGCGGGCCCACCTCACCGTGGTGCCCCAGCTGCTGCAGGCTGGGCGGCCGCAGGCGCTGCTGGCTGCGCGAGGCCATCTGCTTCATCACCAGCGCCGCGTTCTGGCGCTGTGCCAGCGCCGGGTGCTCGGGGCCACCATGTGGCAGCGGCCCCCCGAAGGCCTCGGGTGCCGGCGGAGTGAAGTCGCCAGGCAGGCCGGGGTAGGCCGTTGGGGAGAGGTGGCTCTCCATGGCTGGGCCATGCATGCCGCTGCCCCAGGAGGTGCAGCGCTCGACGCCAGGGTTGCCAGGGAAGTCGAACCGCGGCCTCTTGGCGACGCTCACGTAAGGGGCATCGAAGTGCTGCAGTCTTTGATTTGGTGGCTGTGGCGGAGGAGGGTGCTGCATATTAAACACGGGGTCGGTGTAGGGATGCATATTCCTGTTCTCCAGTCTGTGAATAGGGTATTCAAACTGTGCATGCTGGTTCTGCATTATGGGCCCATTGTCCTGCAGGTTGGGGTTGGGAGCGTTGGCTTCTGTTTGCTGTTGCCTAGGGATGGCTGGCGGGCAGGAGTTCTGTCTGGCCAGCAAGCCCGGTGGCGGCTGCTGCGGCGGTTGCGGTGGCTGCTGCTGCTGCTGCATCAGCGGGTGCCTGGCGCTGGCCCCCGGCTCCAGGCTGGCGGACATCTTCCGCGTCCCCCCAAAGCGCTCGAAGAAGACGCCGTGCTGCTGTGGCGGGTGCGCCTTGGCCACGGCCATGCCCGGTGCTCGAGGCAGGGCGGGTGCTCCGGCGAAGTTGCCGCCCGCTGGCACCTGCCGCCCGCCACCATAGTGCGGCAGCTGCCCCTCGGGCTCCGACGGTGAGAACACGGGCAGCTCGAAGTGGCCGGCGGGGCCGTCGCCAGGGTAATTGTATTCCAGCGAGTCCACGCTGCCCTGCGCGGGCAGCCGCCGCTGCTCCAGGCCGTGGGGCTCGGAGGAGCCGGCCGCCGGCAGCCCGTGGAAAGAGGCTGCGCGGTTGGGAGACTGGTCGAGGGGCAGGCAGGGAGCCGGCACGGCGTGGCTGGAGCCGCCGGCGCTGTGGTGCTGGAAGTCGGGCAGGTTCCCGGGGCGCTGCTGCCCGAAGCCCTCGCCTCCCTGGCCGTCGGCCATGTGCTCGTAGCCGTCGGCGAACGCCGTCTGCCCGCCCAGCGCGCCGCTGTAGCCCAGGAGCCGGCCGCCGTGCACGCAGGAGGCGCCAGGGTCGGGCCCGAAGTTACCGCCGAAGTGCGGGGGGTGCTGGTGCGGGTGGTGGCCGCCGCCGTGGCCGCCGTGCGCCGTCTGCCCGCCGAAGAAGCCGTGCACCGGCGGCTGCATGCCGCCGCCGTGCAGCTCGGCGGGGCCGCGGCCCGGGAACCCGTAGGCGTCCGCGGGCAGGCTCATGTTCATGCCCAGGAGGGGCGGCTCTCCCAGCGCGCCCAGGGCCGGGTCCACCGCCGCCGCTGCCGCCGGGCCGCCGCCGGGGAAGGCCGGCGCCTTGAAGTGCGCGCTCATGCTCAGTCCGGGCTGGCCGAAGCCCCGCTCCGCCTGTCCGCCGCTCCGGCTGCTGCTCTGCGGCTCGAACTGCTCCAGCCCGAACATCCTGCGCGGCTCCTCAGCAGGGCATGGCTGCTCCGCTCCGCCGTCCCGCTCCGCGATGCTCGGCCGCCCCGCTCACATCCTGCCGCGCCTCCGCGCCGCTGGCATCGGCCGCCCGCCCGCGCTCGCCCCGGCGGCTCTCCGCTAGCTGCCCCCCCTGCGCCGCGCTGCCCGAGAGCCGACGGGGCGGCGTGCCGCCGCTCATAGGCTCCGGCGTCCGGGAGCTGTGCGCCGCATCGCCGGCCCGCCGTGCGCTGCCCGCGGTTCGCAGGGCTCCGGCGGCGGCAGCGGGGCCGTGGCGGCGGGGCCGGCGCTGCGTGCGGGCGCTGGGAGGGCTGCGCCGCGCTCCCCGCCGCGCTCCCTCGCTCTCAGCCGGCGCTGGCGGAGCAGCAACAAGTTTTGCATTTCAGCGATGAATTTCAGCCATCGGGGCTGCGCCAATGAGCGCGCGCCGCCCGGGGCGGGGCTCGCCGTTAAGGTGGCTCCGCCGCCGGCCCGGCCCCGCGCCCCGCCCAGTGCCGCGGCCGCCGCTGCTCCCGCGGAGCCCTGGGAGCGGGAGGCGCAGTGGCCGGAACCGACCGGCGGGACCCGGCCCGGGGCGCCCAGTGCCGCCCTCCCCTCCCCGCCAGCCCGGGGCAAGGAGCGGTTCAAGCGGCCCCGGCGCTGCCCGCGAGCCCCCGGCTCGCCCCGTCGGGCCCGCCCGGGCCGGCAGCCCGAGGGGAGCCGGGAGTTCGTGGCAGCGGGGAAGTCCGAGCGCAGGGTACCCGTGGGGACAAACCCCCCTCAGGTCCGGGGCACCGAACCTGCCGGCGGGATGAGGAGCGGATCGCACAAGCGGTGGCGTAAAAAAAAAAAAATGCCAAAAATGAAAATTACTGCCACCAAAAAAAACCGGGATCTATAAATAAGCGCCCGCCCGGTGTTTGTATATGGCAGGAGAGTTTTAAGGGGATTTTTTTTCTGCAGGATCAGGATGCTGCGCTGTGATTAAATATTGATTTTGTGTAATTAGTTTTCATGTGAACTATCCTCCTTGCTGATGGCTTGGAGATTTCAGAACTCGAGAAGAAATGGAATTGGACATGGAAATTATTACTTAGCAAAGTGACGGGGGGGCCGCGGGGTGCGGGGCTGGCAGCGGGGCACGGAGCGGAGAGCGCGCCGCCCGACAGCGGCACAAAGGAACGGGGGCTGGAGGGGGGATGTCCCGCTCCATCGCGGAGGGAACGGGGGCGAGGGGGGGGAGAGTAGGGAAGGAGAACGGGGGGGAGAGAGGAGGAGGGAAGAGGAGGGGGGAGAGAGCCGCCGGCCCCTCTGCCCATTTCCCCGCAGCGCCGCCGCGCCCCGCACCGACCGCGGCCCCGCGCCCAGCTCTGCGCCTGCGTGCGCGCCGTCGGAGCCAGCTGTTCCGAACGGGCACAGCGCCCCCTGGCGCCCGCCGCACCCCGGCGCGGGCAGGCGGCTGCCAGTGACCCGGGGAGCCTCGACGGCGGAGGCACCGGGACCAGACTGGTTTGGGTTTGGAAGGGACCTTAAAAAGCTCATCCAGTTCCGTCCCCCTGCCACGGGCAGGGACCCCTTCCACTGGAGCAGCTTGCTCCAAGCCCCTGTGTCCAACTTGGCCTCGAACACTGCCAGGGATGGGGCACCAGCTTGCTTCTGAAAAGACAGATATTTACTGATTTAGATTTACCTTGCATTTCATGGAAGATTCAGAATCTGCCTGTTTCTTGAGCAGAGCCAGCACAGTCTCCCTGTAAGAGCAGAATAATACCGTGAAGGAGAGTGCAGTTAGAAGGATGGAGACATCCACAGGCTGACCATCTCGGGTGCTCCTGGGCAAGCGCAATCACTCCTCTCTCCTTTGTTCTGGTCCTTGCCAGGACCAACAGCATGCTCCTTCACCGGAGAGCTTTTCTGCTCCTCTGCTGTGGGCTGAGGCTATGCTGCCTTCCAGGGGCAAATTTTAAGGCTGGAAGTTCCAGCACTGTAACACACCAGCAGCTGAGATGAGTGAAGCGATAAGGTCCTCCACCAGACCAGCGCTATACAGGCTCCATTACTATCTGGTAACATTTCTAAACATTCATGATTTGTTAATGTCGCTAACGTTTGTAAACGTTCACTATTCATAAGCATTCACTGTTTGTTACTGTCCAAGGGTGCTCTGGACTAAACACACCCCGGGGGCCACGGACCTCCTAAGTCCTTCTCAGCCTTCAGCACAGAGCTGGGGAGCCCTAGGATGGGACCAGCACCATGGGAGCACTTTGGTCCAAAGGGTCACTCTCACCCAGCCAACAGAAGGAAACCTCTCAATTGTAGCGAGTAGTGAAAAGCCCATTTTACAAAACATTTTTACTTTCAGCCTTTGGGTTCTGGTCATCCTGGGAAGCAGGGAAAGGCATTATTTAAATAGTTGTAGCCGCAGGGGATCATTTTCTAAATTAACAATAGTAATTGCCTCTGCCAAATCGAGAGTTGAGGGGATTCATTTCTTTCAGCCCTCAAGACAATAGCACGATTCGGGGTTTCATATTGCAAGCTCTGAAAACCAAACGGTGATGTTCTAAAAAAATAATAATGCAAACGGCACCAATTGCTGAGCTGGACCCTGCTCCCGCCACCGGGGGCCCGGGGACCTCGCACCCCGGAAAGGCTGCTCAGCAAAAAACTCCTTTTTAACAGAATGAATGCATCATACATAAAACATGGCGGAGCGCACAATTAGTAAGCAAATGTAAGAGTTCAGCTCAGTTCATAATTATTCAGCAAACCTATTCAGAATTATTTTTTTCTCCCTGCAGCAATCAACTGTGTGGGCTCATTACCACTGAGGATCTAAGGAAGAAACCACCACATAAACTGCACAAAACAAGCCCAGATGCTGGAAAAGCTTCAGCCCAGCTCACCATTAGCAAAGGGCCTTTTAAACCCGTCCATCGAGCAAAACCACGTCTTACTTCTCTGTGGTGTTTATACCCCTGCTCTATAAAGACACCATTTCATTAATGTGTCAGGCCTCAGGTATATAAATTTGAGCTCCTAAATAACCTCTGCAGTGCTGGGGAGCGCAGCCATCTGGAACAACACAAAAAAGCCTTTGGTTGCCACTACCTGTCGCACAGCTGCCGAGGCGATGAGTCCTGCCTTCAGAGCACGGGCTCCCACCAGTTACTTTGCAGGAAAGCCAATGGGTTTTTCCTTGCAGGGATTTTCAGTGAACGGAGACTGAACGTTCCGAAGGACAGGTTCCCGAGGCTGGCGGCTGGCATTATGGGGAAGGTGCTCAACATTCCTGCCTGGAGCAGTTCAGGAAGCTATCGCCCCTTCTCCCTCTCAAAACTACAGCAGACACAGCGGCCGGACTGACTCAGAAGGCAAATCTGCAACACCATCACATGAGCTGGACAGTGCAGTGAGCACAGAGCAGGGTCAGGCAGCAGATCAGATGTTCCTCCCGAGGACAAGGGGTCTGTTTGCATGCTCCTGCTCACTTCCTGAGAATGGTGCAGAGCTTTGGTTGTGGAATTGCTCTGCCCCGGCAGGGTGCAGGCCCCCGGGATCTGACCTGCTCCATTGCTTCTTGTCCTTCCCCATGCGAGTGGCTGGGGGCGGCTATCTCATAACTGAGATTGAAGACAATTTCACCTGTAAAACTGATTAGTGCCCATACAAGGTCACCATACTGATGTAAATATTCCCCTCTCAGTCTCGCCACCAACGTTCTGGAAATTTCTGGGAACTTCGAACCAAACTCCTTCAGGCACTGGCCTGCTTCCCATTTTGAAAAAATGCATGACTGAATAATAAGAGTTAAGGCACTAAAACTGTTCCAGTTGTTTCCTGCAGAGACCAGCAGTGGTTTCGGAGCTTGGCCCTTCACAAGGGTTTTCCTGGCTGTTCTTCTGCAAGGTTGATTGCCTGCTTCACTTCCTTTACAACTCTGAAGCGGTGTATTTCCCTGTTGGGGTTTCCAGGTGCCTCAGGATGGACCATGGCATTTCCACAATATCGGTATGCTTTTCCATTGCTGCAAAGAGCATCTTTGTCTCACGTGAGTACACCGGGTCCCACTTACGTCAGTTCAGTGGAAACCCTTAGGGCATACGCAGCACTCAGGTGTACATGTAGAACACACTGATCTTTTTCTAATTTAGATCACAAAACCCAAGATAGTGCTAAAGTAACACAACACTGCATTGTCCAGTTAGGAAAAATGCTAGGAAATGCTGAAGCAAATTTCCCCATCTATAACAACTGTATAACAGAATATACTTCCTGGGCTTTTTGCTCCCCTTCAAATTCCCATCTCTAAAACACACACTGTAGGGCTACACACAGGGCGGGGGTGGCAGGAATTAGGTCATATTTACAGCACAAAAGAATTAGTTTGGCTGCAGGAACAGTAGAAGTTTTATATTTCCTAAAATAACTCTGTGAAACCTAAATAAAAGAAGTGCCTCTGTCAGGATAATCTGCATTTAACTCTCCTCGGCATTTTACGAGGGGGTTTGTATGACTGACTTTGTTCTGTTGTTTTCTTAAACTTGAACCAGGTGGGAATTTAGGTAAGTGTGGTGGAGCAGGAATGGTCTTTGAGCATCTGGAAAGTCTGGCTCCCAGTGGGCAATGCCAGCAAACCACTAGTGTTAATTCATTCTTCTTCATCTTATAAATTAAACTATTGTGAAGGGAGAGAACCAGGGGGTATTTTGTAGGGTCCTGATGACTTCATTTTCCCTCAGTGTTAGCTTCATGAGAGCATTCATTCACCTTAGCACTTCCTTTCTACATCCTGACATCCTGTGACATCCACAAGCAGCGTTTCCAAGTCCTTCCCAGCATTTGAAGCCTCCGGGCAAACAGATACTCCTGTATTTATTATTGGTCATGCTACCTCACGAGATTTACAGAGAAACTCATGTTTCTGAGCAATTGGTGAACCTTGGCTCATAGCTCCGATTTGTCAAGTTCAAAAACCAGTGCCCTCTGCCCATGGGAGGTGGTGAAGTGCATCCCAAAGGCAGCAATGCTGGGTCTGGCAGCGTCCGGGGTGCAGTGCTGAACCCCACAGCCAAAGGTGCCCGTGCACCTCTGCCAGGGACCCCAGCTCCTCTCTAGGTCTTCTCACAGGGCTGCATTTCATCCATAGAGGTTGCTGTTTGCTTTTCCAACAGGAATCACACCAGTGATGGGTACACCACTGATGCTGCAGCCCTGGGTACCCCAGCACAGCGCTGGCTGCTGACAGGCCTACAAACACCCCCGGTTCCCCACCACAGGTACAAAGGGTTAAACACCTCCTGCCATCGTAACCCAGCTTCTCCATCGCATGGCCCCTCAACATCTCCTACAAAAGCCTGATTTAATCCCCGCTGCAGACGACTCACATTGTATTCACAGACTTCTAGCGATGTCAGGCTATCGGGTTTCCAACTAATATCCAAGGCACAGCCCAAGCCCGGAGCAGGAACAAAGGCTTCTTTGTTACTGGGGAAAAAAAAACCCCGAAGATACGAGCAGTGCAGTAGAGTTCAAACTGTTAAATGGTTCAAATATTATTTAATGAATACATTTGAAATGAGGTCTCACAACCCAGAACACTTTTTAGATCATCATTTACAAAGAGCCTGCCTCTTCGTTTACTCCTGTATGAAGTTGTTGCTTTCAGGTTTTCATTATTGCCATTCTCCTTCCAGGCTGTTGCAGGCACTTCACTTGCTGGAGTAGCTCTGTTCTTTTTGTGATTGGGTTTAGCTGGTGACTACTGGATCTTTCATAAGTCCTTAGAATCACATCCCCATTATTTACCTTGGATGGCATTTCTGTGGCTGTAAAAGACCTGGGAGACAGAGAGCACGTAGTAGAAGCACCAGCACTAGGTGCTATTCTACAGGGTGCTAAAAGCAAGCTTTTAAAATTAGGAAATTTGTTAAATTAGATTCTCAAGGTTTTAACTATGACTGGAGAAGCTCTGCAAAGGTCAAATCCAACAGGTACTTTGAGTTCTTGTTCAAGTCTTGGATGTGCGATTCTAAACCGGAAAGCTGTGTAATTTTAGGGAGAAAAACAAAATTAAAGAAACAAGATCACAACCAACATGTGTCTGGGCTGGGACATGAGGTTCTAAAATTAAACCCGACTTTACTGTGCTACAGCAGCACGAATCCCATGGCTGCTGCGAGGCGCAGAGGGCAGCACGGTGCCCATGCGGGCTGGGGAAATCCAGAGCATCCAAGCAAAGGGGGGGAAAGAGCAACGGAGCAGAGGAAGTACAAGAACAGTGTCAGAACAGGCAGGAGAACGAGGACCAGAAAACAAGGCACAGAGCAAAAGCAGAGCTACTTCCAGTCCTGTCAGCAGAGTGCATCGCAAAGCAGAACATCAAACACAAAACACCCCTGTCCCCGGCACAGCAAAACCACCTGGGCTCTATTGCTGGGGGGTTTATACATTCACACAGCCATTTCGGGGACACCCCTATGGAGGGAAGGGGAGGAACACTAGGACCATAACCCACTATGGCTGCATGTACTCCATCTACATGAATTTCACTCAAGCCAAGCTGAGCTTGCCCTCAGGTGGGCAATGCCACAGGTGGGAGTCACTGAATACATGTCTCCAATAGCAGATAAAACACCCCCATGGGTTCAGTGCCCGGGTGACAGGCACAGCAGTCACTCTCCTCTGGATCATCTCCATTTCATTTCCCACAAAGAACTTCTCATGTAAAGGAAGACTCTCCTTGCTTTGGCAAGCTCCTTTAAAACTGCTCCTTTCCAGCCTAAGCATGAATGAGGCTGAGCCCAGTCTTGCAGGACAACACTGTATGCCTGACAACTGGGGCCTGCATAGGAACACTGTAAAAAGGGATAGGAAGGCTTGGACTTTCACAACCCATCATCATTTGCTAAAGCTAATGTTAAATTTGGGAGACATCATTATCTACAAATATGTGGAAAGCGAAAATAAATGTCTGCTTTAGCCAATTGCCCAGCACAAATAGTGCACAATAGAGCAAAAGGCACCACAGATAAGACTTTATTTGAATTTGAAGACTGTGGAACAAACCCTCCCTTATTTCCCCTCATCAAGCAGAGGCTGCAGAGTTACAGCCCACATCTCATTTTCTCAGCCCTATATTTGGAGGCACTGGAGCCTGTCCCCACAAGATACTTGTTCCTGAAGCCTACACCTGAAAGGGATTTTAAATGTTTTCTAGCTATTAGAAACATATCACGTGCAGTGAGCAGGTATTTCCTGGTTACAATTTACATGCTTTCAAGATGAGCATTCACTCAATTACTACATTTCTTTGTATATCTATTGTGCTAAATGTCTATGGTGCAGACCCACAGTAGGGAAAGCCTGACTTCTGCCTGCTCTGATACAGACACAGGCAGCGGGAAAGTTACAACAAAAAACTAGGGACAAACACCATGTTAATACATGTAACTTAGGGAAAAACACATGAAGGAGAGAAAAACAGTGAGCAACGTCCCTGCACGGTGCTATAGGCACACACACACACCCTGTTTTCGTAAGTCTGTGTCAGCAAATGCATTGCACCCAGTTCTAACCATTTCTTCTTAAACAAAATAAAAAAGGCAGGTCTCTTTTCAGAAGGAATGTTAATGCCAATGGGAAGTCAGAACAAACAGATAATGCTTGTTTACCTGCAAGAGATGCATCGAATCCCGAGACACTCAAACGTATCTGTCACATATGACAGTTTCAGCAGTCGTATTAGGAAATCGCTTAACGCTTACCTTGACATCTCACTTCTTTCGTTTGCTGGAAACCCCTGGAATACATCAGGCTCATTCCTACCTCCACTGGAGCAACAGAAATAATTGGTTTTACATAAAAAGGAAAGCATAAATTGAAGGAAATATTGTAAATATTGATTCTGCCACCAAGGGCTTTACATTAGAGACTGAGTGCTGGTAAGGAGTTTCAGGAACCAAATCTTTAAAAAGAAAGGGTGCATTAAGGTGCATGACAAAATGAAGACAGGCTACAGAAGCTCCTGGGAGCAGCCCACCACTGCATGCTGCTGCTCCCAAGCAGCTTCAACTAGAAATCTGGCTTTGCTTTTGCTTCCTCAGCCATCTGTATTTTAAAGCACAGGCAATTAGCAAACATTCCACCCCAGTAATGTGGGCTACAGATCCCGAGGAAAAGCTTCTGCTGATGGGTTTCAGGTGAGCAGAGACTGTTCTGGTTTCCTCCTACCACCCTATTCCAGCTGCAGTCGTCAGCAGCATGTAGGAGCCATGGGACCAGGATGAAGTTCAAATTGTACATGGGTGATACACGGTAAAAACGTTGCTCTTTTTAGCCAGTTGCCCCACTGAGGCTGGGTCTGGAGTACACTGCGTGTAACAGGGTGTTTTGTGTGGCAGAGGTTCTGGTGCCGCAGGAACAAGGCCAGGACAGCCCTGTCCCCACGAGCAGGGGTTGCCAGGGAGCACGGGGAGCTGCAGACCCATGGGGCTCCGCAGCTGCAGCGCTGCCGTTAGCGCTGTGGTCACACAGCAAGAGCGAGGGGACCTGGGTGGCATCTGCCCAGGAGGAAGGCGGAGGGGGGGGGTCACATCTGCCAAACAGCAGGGGTGCTTTAGGAGGAAATGCTATTAAAGATCTCATGAGCATTGCATACCCAGTTAATGGAGGGATAAACAACCCCAGAGCGCGCCAGGCTTCACCTTCCTGTACCACAGACTCGATAGGGAAGAGCAAATAGAAGCCATTGGAACCTTCAGCTGAATAAAACAGTTTTAACATTGCGAGGCTTTCCCAGGCATCCCCTGGGCCCAAACCCTCCCGTGCCTCCATGGAGGTGAAAACAGCCACAGCAGGGAGGTGCTGCTCACCGGCGTAACCAACGCGGGCATTGATTTGCAATGTTCAACCGCTTCCTACCGCGCGGTCACGGATTAACGTCAGCTGCTGCACCGCTGTCAGCTCCTCCTCTCTGCCACACCAAGTGGTGCAGGAGGGAAAAGCCCCCCGGGGCTGGCCCCGGCCCCGGCCCCCTCGCGCTGTTGTGCTTCGGCCATGTGCGGCATTCCCGACTTGTGGCAAAGCTGTGGGGCCCGCACTGCCCCTGCCCACCCACAGCCCAGGGCTCTGCAGAGCCCCCTGCGCCCGTGGTGGCCAGGACACACAAAATGAGGCTTTTAGGGTCTGGTCAGAAGGGGAGCAAAAAGAGGGCAGAGACCCCGGGGACCGGCTGGAAGAGAAGATGCTGAAATCAGTTGAACAGTGACAGCAAACAAAAGGAACCGCAGCCAAAGGAGTGTGGCACCAGCTAAGGACCCATTCCTGGTGCTCGTGGTGGATGGACCCTGGCTGGCAGCCACGGGCACCACCACCCACCCGGTGCACAAACCCGCCCCACGCACTGGCCCTTCTCTGAAATCACAGCTGCCAAGTGAGGACGACAGCATCAGCTCCAGCACGTGGTGGTCAGTGTCACCCCAGGCCAGCTTGGATTGCTCCTACATCCTCTGGGTAGCGGTGCTGCAGTGTCCATGTGTGCCAGCAGCTCGTGGTGCCAGTTCATGTGGCAGACAATGGAGTTCTCCTCACGCCTCCCAACACAAACAAGGCTTTGTTCCCATGCATCCTCCGCAGCAACTCGTGCTGCAGGAGCCCATCCTCTTGCCAACCAGTGCTCCTGGGGCTGCAGCTCCACAGGGACCTCTCCGCTCAGCCCCAGGCACCTGCTCCCCATCAGGGGGACCTGCAGACCTCAGACTTTAGTCAGCATCCAGTGTCCTGTCTTGACCCGCCCTGAGCAAGACCTGCTCCTTCTCTCCCACTGCATCACCCCAGGAGAGCCCAGGGATCTGGTGTGTGTCACAGCAGTGCCTGCAGAGCCAAGCTGTGGCAAACGGGTTGCAGCTTCGTGTAAGTCACAAAGCTATTTATTCCTCCTGACAAGTGTAATCATACTATTTCAATATTTAAAGTGAAGCACTTGCTCAGTCCAGCTCTCTGAGGAGAAGTCACAATGTTAAAATCGGTCTGTCGGGCACGGTTTAAAACAAAGCAGCAATAAGGCCTCAAGGCAACACTGTGCAGCAGCTCTAGGCTTCAAAGGATGCAGAGCAAAGAGACAGAACATCACCACTGTCACCACCAGAGCCGACACAGGTTTATGTGCCTGTCGGACACGCTGTGACCATCCTGCAGTGCATCAGTGCCATCCTGCTGCCGGTCACAAGTTCAGGTGCTGCAAACACGAAGGTTTGAGTGACAGGAGCAGGATAAATCTGTGCTTTCGCGGGTGGGTGCTGGCAGATGACAGCAGCGCTCTGAGGCGCTGCACGTGCCAGGGTGACGGCTCAGACCGATGCCGTCCACGGCTGCTGGAGCAGCCCCAGGGCAGGAGCAGGGCTGGCTGCTGCCCACAGGACCTTCACCCCAGTCCCCTCTGCCGATCCTCTCTGCGCTTTACTGAACACAGGCCAGGCTTTGAACACCTCTGTCCCAGCCACTGAGGCATGCTCCAGCCCAGACCCTTTTTGCCCCAGCATCAAACCCAACAGCTCCTGGTTTCCTCCAGCTCGTTTGCTGAAGCTGCCACCAACATGGGGCACAAACAATCCAGCACGGTCCCCAGTAGTGAAGGGAACCACATGGAGCTCTCTGGAGAAGCTGTTCCGCTCCCCTCTGTGGGATGGAGCAGGGTTTGTTTGCTCAGCCCTGCTTTGGAGCAGGATCTGCCCGTGGAGCAGCAGTGGAAGCACAACAGGAACCAAATTCACGTCAGTTTTCAGAAGTGCTGCGGGAATACAACACAAAACCCTACACAGCTCCTTCCCCACCCGGTCACGAGGGTTTCACATGGCCCGGGAGGGTCCAGCCAGAACAGTTTGGGCAGGTGGTTAAACAATCCTTGTTAAATCACTGCAGAGTAACGGCCAGGCCACATCCCTCTGCAATTCCAGCATCCCCTGGGCACCGGCTCCCAGGCTGGCACGTGCCCACACACAGAAACCTCCTCCCCTCTCCCTTCTCTGTTGTGTGTCCCCCAGATGTGTTTATACTCTTTAGCGTGGAGCTGCTCTAAACAGGCACCTTGTGGGTTATTTTCAGTCCTTTTGGCATGTTTCCATTTTTTCCTTGTAGCCAAAATGAACACAAAGTTAAGGGACAGTTAAAAGCATTTACAGTTGTTTAAAGACTCTGTTCCTGGTTCAGGAGATAGGGGAGAGGTCCTTTAACACCAGCAGATGAATAGACAAAGAAAGAAAAGGGCTCACAAGTCCCTTTTAGACCATACTCGTATGCAGCCAAGTGATGGATTTAAAAGGCTACTGCTGGAATATGGTTCCCAGCAGTCTATTGCAGTGAATAAATATCACGTTTACATATCCATTATAACAAAACAACGCTGCACTTCCAGTACTTCACGTTGGTTTGCCATCTGGAAGCTAAACAAGCTACGTAGTAAAAAGAAGAATTCGATTTTGCATTTACTAAAAGGAGCCACGCAAGTTTCGGTTTATGGCAGGCTATTTCCCAGCCTTCACAAGCAGAAACCTGCCCACAGGAGAACTGACTTCACGGGGCGGTATCAGCCCATGGGGGAGGCACACAAGCCAGCTCATCAGCCACCTGCAGACACCAGCACCTCAGACAAGAGACAGAGCACTTCATGATCAGATTTATTTAATTAAAGTCCACTGGCTGGTTCACTGCAGGTCACAGCCGAGGCTGCCAAAGCAATCTGAACATGTTACAGTCACTACAAGATGCTCACAGGTTTTCCCAACTAGTCCCAGCCCACAGAAGCCACAAGGTCCCTTCCTTCACCTGGCACCAGGACTCACATTAAGGGCAGCAGGACTCAAGTTGCAGCACCGAGCTGAACCGAGCCCCCGGACCCCGGTGCCAGAGCCCTGGCGCCTCTAAAACCATCCCTGTGTGTGCACGTCCTTGCATTTACAAACCCACCCTCCTGGTGCAGGGGACAAACACCAGCTTCACTGCTAACCCAGAAAGGAGAAACAATCAGTTCTGCAGGGGGGTGGGCAGTGACAAGGAGAGGTCCCAGCGCCGCCGGCCCCAGCACACAGACAGCCCAGCTGCAAGTAGAGGAAAATCCAATCACTGCCCATCACTGGAAATCGGATCACTCCTTGGGTAAAGCCAAGTAGGTCCAAATGACTCCAAAATACTTGAATGGATGTGGGGTTATGAAAGTGAAGCTTAAGCAAGGCTCAGCCCCACCAAGGTTTGTGGGGACACTGGAGGAAGTGAGGCATTAATAGAGCTTTATCTAACTCTGTCTTTAAAATAACCTGTTTCTGGCCTAGCAAGCATTTTGATAATATATCTATGACATGCTTTGAATATTTCCTTAATATTCATTTTCCTGAATACATTTTCCCTACTTGAGAGTTATCTACAGGAGGTCTCTATGACACCATCTCCTTTTACAAGTGTACCCCTAACAAACCTCAGGGAATTACATCAGATGCTACAGGTTAAACTTTCATCATATCTGAAAGTATACATCTCTTTTAAAGTGTATTTTCAACATGAAAAGAGCTAAAATCACAATTGTATCCCATTGCGCAATGTGCGTGAAACCAAGACCATCTGCACAGCTTCCAAAGTGGAACTCTGGAGAACAGTGACGGCAGGGAAGGGGCTGCCACCCCTCTCCTTCAGAGCACGGAACTTTCTGCGCTACTGTCAGCATCTTCGGCTGAGAAGCCAGCTCTTGGAGAATTTCAGGTTGCAATCACTTTAAAAATCACAAGCCATTTGTCCTTAATTTGCCAATTTTAATGAAGAAAAACCATTAATCAGCATTTCCATGTACAAAAGTCCAATAAAACATGATTTTTTTTCCTTTAAATCAGTGAATGGGAAAAGTTCGAGTTAAACTTATTCAACAGTAAAAATCTTCCAATTTCCACTAATAGAAATTTTTTGCTGATGTGACTATAGGATAATGACTATCCAGAAATAAATAGCTATAAATACATTCATTGTTCCTATTCCAAAAATAATCACATAGGGAAGACACAAAACTGAAATTAACTTATTTGAACCTCTTTCTTTACAATGAGATATGGGCAAGTTATAGCAGAGGGACTCAAGACAGGAAAAAAACCCCAAGTAGGGAATAAATTGGTCCAGTATTGACATTCATGAAACATACCAGTTAGCATAGTTCATCCTTTAAATGACACTACTCAGTCAATTTTTATTTGCTTCGGGTATACATAATGAAAG